AGCCCAGGAGCTCTGATGTCCGGCCACCTGCTCTCTCCGTTTTTTCTATCAAACTGCCAAGAAGTGAAGGGAAGGACCCCAGGAATATTCCTTCCTCAAGTCTTGCTGTTACGACTGGGCTCACGGGCAGGGCCGGCTCCAGGCACCAGCAAAGGAAGCAGGTGCTTGGGGTGGCCAATGAAAAGGGGCGGCACGTCCGGATCTTCAGCGGGAATTCCCTCAGTCTCTATCTTCCTCTTTGAGATGCCGCCAAAGTGCCACCGATGGCTTTACGGGGTTTTTTTTCCCCGCCACTTGGGGCGGCAAAACAGCTGGAGCTGGCCCTGGGCCCTGCATGCAATTTCCCCACCTGTTGGTGTCACTAGGCATAGCTACCAGGTAACTCGGGAGAGTGGAAGGCCATACGTGCCGATGAAGCTCTTCCGCTCTGGGTCTAAATGAGCCACAGTGACTCCATCTTGTGAACATTAACCAGCCTAGAGTGCTGACAGCCTAAAAAGCAAAATATGTAATGGTTAGCTTTTCTAGCAGACAGCTGCTGTTTTGCTCACTCACAAACACAGTAGAGATAAGGGGTGGGGGGAGGAGGAGGGAGAGACTGCTTGCACATGAATCTACAAGGCCATAGATAAGCATGTGAATGGGAAAGTTTCTAACATGCACACTGTGTACCTGCTGTAACTGTTGTCTGGAAGGGAGGGGTAAGGGTGAAATAGACAAAGGCTTGCACAGAAACTGCTTGGAATATAAAAGGGAAAATTTGTTTGTGTGTGCTGCACTTGATTTGAGATATGTTGGTCTCCTAGTGCCTATTCAGAGATCTCGAATAAATTTGCTTTGTTTCTCCACCTCGGTGTCTTTATTGGTGCAAAGCACACCGGGCAACGAACCCCGCTGTTTGCCTTCTCGGGCCCTTTTAGGCTGGCAACACACCCAAATGTGGCCCTTGGGCCAAAAAGTTTGCCCACCCCTGGGTTAGACTGTGAGAGACAAGAGTATTTGGCAGCATTCGGACTCACTCCTGTTGCCATTAATATTCCTGCACCCGTTCACACACGTCCTTAATAAGCGATCCTGGGGCCAAATCACAGTCTGGGCTGGATTGTTATTTTAAACGAGAGAAGTGCCTCAATCCATTAGTTTTCTCTCAGAATCGCTGCCCTGTATATGACAGTGCAACTGAGCATAGCTGAAGGGAGACTCCAATGAACCGAGCTGCACAGACACTATGGAGCAATGGGCAATCGGGAATATTGGCTGAGAATTAGACAAGTAAAACCTGACTTTATTCCTGGCCTGGTGGCACTTTCCATCTTGTTTCCAGTGGGGTATTTTTTATGTCTCTGCAGCCCCTATGCAACCCCTGGGATAAACAGCTTTCCTTGGCCTGACAGAGCGTGTTTTGGGGCTCTGTCTGAGTCCCAGATACAATTAAGACGAGCTTGTTTAGAATAGTGGAAGTCCTGACATTTAAAATTGAGGTGGTGCCTAATTTAGGGTGGGACTTTCACAGGAGGCTGAGGGCAGCACTGCGCCTATTTAAGTGGGAGCCGCGTTCTCTGTCCTTCCTGCCCCCAACCTCTCTCCAGCCCAGCTCAGCGTCTCCCTCTCCATCAGCCTGACTCTGAGCGATTCCAGTGACCCCCATCTTAGAACCCTTAGTCACGTGACTGTCCCCAATGCCCTGAGTGCCAGCGCTGGGCTGAGTGATGTCATCAAGGGCTGAGGGGCGGGGTCTGTTATCTCCATGGTGACTCTGTGACATTGTGGAACTTTATTGTGGGTTGGGATGTCTCAGCTCCAGCGGCGGCTCTATGGTTTTTGCCGCCCCAAGCACAGTCACGCAAATTCTGTGCCACGCCTTCAGCGTCCCCGCCGCCCAATTACCGCCGAAGCCGCAGGACCGGCGGACCTCCTGCAGGCATGCCGGCGAAGGCAGCCTGACTGCCACCCTCATGGGGACCGGCAGGCCACACCCCGTGGGTTGCTGCCCCAGGCACGCGCTTGCTGCGCTGGTGCCTGGAACCGCCCCTGGCAGGGCCATGAATGTAGGGCTGGGGCAGGGGGTTGGGGTTCAGGAGGGGTGCAGTGTGCAGGAAGGGCTCAGGGCAAGGAGTTGGGGTGGAGGAGGGGTGTGGGGTGTGCGAGGGGGCTCAGGGCAGGGGGGGGGGGGTGCGGGGGGGGTGGGGGGTGCATCAGGAGGCTCAGGGCAGGGGAGGTTTGGGGGGCGGGCTCCTGCCCAGTGCCGCTTACCTGGACTGGCTCCAGAGTGGCAGCGGTGTGCACCGGGGCTAAGGCAGGCTCCCTGCCTGCCTGCCTGCCCTGGTCTCGCGCCACTCCTGGCAGCAGCCGGCACCATGTCCCTGCAGCCCGGGGGGGGAGGGGCAGCAGAGGGCTCCGCGCACTGCCCTCATTTGTGAGTACCTCCCCTGAAGCTCCCATTGGCCACGGTTCCCCATTCCCGGCCAATGGCAGTTGTGGGGGCAGTCCCTGCAGGCAAGGGCAGCACGCAGAGCCCTCTGCCCACCCTCCCTCAGGGGCCGCAGGGACGTGGTGCCGGCTGCTTCTGGGAGCAGTGCGAGGCCTGTGGCACCAGGGGGTAGCAATCCCGTGGGCCAGATCCAAAGCCTTGATGGGCCGGATCCAGCCCGCAGGCTGTAGTTTGCCCACCCCTGGTCTAACCCAAAGGCAATGAGGAATAAGGGAAGCTTTTCCCTGACCCAAGAACACGCTCTATCAGGCCAGGATAGGATGTCTTGGGATTTGAGATCATTTTATTTCTCCCTTAGGTAAAAGCAGGGCCGCCCAGAGAATTCAGGGGGCCTGGGGCAAAGCATTTCAGGAGCCCCTTCCATAAAAAAAGTTGCAATACTATAGAATACTATATTCTCGTGGGGGCCCCTGCAGGGCCGGGGACAAATTGCCCCACTTGTGCCTCACCCCCCCCCCCGGCGGCTTTGGGAAAAATAAACATTTAAAAACCTTCCGCATCTCAGCAAAAATCCAGTTTTGAGAAAACTTCTTTTCAAGTCACCTTTACAAGGTATCACTGGTTCTCAGCATCAGCTAGTGCTAAAAGGCACTAAAGCTCATTAAAAGGGTTGGACAAATAATTTTCCGACAAAACTTTTTTTGGATCGAAAACTAGGGGTTTTTAAAATGCAGAAAAAATCAGGGACAATGTCTGCTTTCCTTCAAAATTTGTTGTGTTTTTTTAAATTGAAAAGCTGAAATTAGTCTGCCAAAACCTGAACATGGTTTGGGGTTTCAGAAGTGTGTGGCCAAATATTCCTGCTTGCTGTGTTTGATTGTTTAAAGAAACAATAAAAAAATTCTGCTTAAAAAAATCCAAAATTTTTGAACCACCTCAGCTTGTGACCAAACGCCGGAGCCCATCCAGTCAGAGATTTTTCCAGGTTTCTGATACTCTGCTGGCTTCCTTGACTCATATCTGTCTCCATAACTTCGGGTTCATTTAGGTTAGAACATAAGAACATAAGAATGGCCAGACTGGGTCAGACCAAAGGTCCATCTATCCCAGTATCCTGTCTTCCAACAGTGGCCAATGTCAGGTGCCCCAGAGGGAGTGAACCTAACAGGTAATGATCAAGTGTTCTCTCTCCTCCCATCCATCTCCACCCTCTGACAAACAGAGGCTAGGAACACCATTCCTTACCCATCCTGGCTAATAGCCATTCATGGACTTAACCTCCATGAATTTATCTAGTTCTCTTTTAAACCCTATTATAGTCCTAGCCTTCACAACCTCCTCAGGCAAGGAGTTCCACAAATTGACTGTGCACTGTGTGAAGAAGAACTTCCTTTTATTTGTTTTAAACCTGCTGCCCATTAATTTCATTTGGTGGCCCCTAGTTCTTATGTTATGGGAACAAGTACATAACTTTCCCTTATTTACTTTCTCCACATCACTCATGATTTTATATACCTCGATCATATCCCCCCTTAGTCTCGTCTTTTCCAAGCTGACAAGTCCTAGCCTCTTTAATCTCTCCTCATGTGGGACCCGTTCCAAACCCTTAATCAGGAGCGCCGCCAGCTTTTTTGCCGCCCTAGGCAGTGGAAGGTCCCACCCCCGAAATGCCGCCCCCGACAGAGGTGGCAGAAGGTCCCACCCCCGAAATACCGACGACGACCGAGGCGGCCGAAGATCCAGCCGCTGCATTCACCGCCCCCCAAATGTTAGCGCCCTAGGCAACTGCCTAGGTCGCCTAATGGGTTGCGCCGGCCCTGCCCCTAATCATTTTAGTTGCCCTTCTCTGAACCTTTTCTAATGCCAGTATATCTTTTTTGAGATAAGGAGACCACATCTGTATGCAGTATTCAAGAAATGGGCGTACCATGGAGTTATATAAGGGCAATAAGATAGTCTCTGTTTTATTCTCTTTTCCTTTTTTAATGATTCCTAACATCCTGTTTGCTTTTTTGACCGCCTCTGCACACTGCGTGGACGTCTTCAGAGAACTATCCACGATGACTCCAAGATCTTTTTCCTGATTCGTTGTAGCTAAATTAGCCCCCATCATGTTGTATGGATAGTTGGGGTTATTTTTCCCAATGTGCATTACTTGAAATTGATCCACGTTAAATGGAAGGGTTGAAAGGATTGGAAGTAATACCCTGGACCCTGTGAAATGTACTGACCTGTAGCTCAGCAGAGTTTGGAGAGAATTAGGCTTCGCAGCTTTGGTTTTTTTTAAATATTTTTGACAGCCATTATTGATGTCTATTTGAAACCATTTTTGATTGTTATATAGTTGCACAGAACTGTGTTTTCAGCATGATTTTACTTTGAGAATTTGTAAATTTCAATGATGGTGGATGGAAATATGTTTTCGGGGGGGGGGGGGGGGGGTCTGGGTGTTTTTTATAAATCTGGGGGTTCACCTTTTTTCTATATAAAAATGCTCCGTCCACGCCTACAGACAATGCAAGACCTGAGATATTAAACACCCTGCTTCCCCTTTTTGTGCCAGTCCCACTTTGCTCTGTGTCATTGTGTATCGGGTGCAGTAATACGTGGCGGTGTCTGCAGCTGTCAGCGAGCGGAGCTGCAGGGAGACCTGGTTCTTGGAGGAATCTGCAGAGAGGGTGACTCGGCCCTTGAGGGACGGGGCGTAACTTGTACCCCCGCTATTTGGATGTAGGAGTCCCATCCATTCCAGCCCTTTCCCGACAGCCTGTCGGATCCATTGCCAGTAGTAAGTGCCGTCAGTGATGGAGATCCCGGAGACAGCACAGGTCAGGGTGAGGGTCTCTCCGGGCTTCGCCACTCCGGGGCCGGACTGGACCAGCCGCACCTCGGATAGGACACCTGGGGAAAGGAAACAAAGCGAGGAATGATTTAGCCACTGAATGTCTCTCTGTGTGTCCCTAATTCCCCCACGTGTCCCAGAAACACTCACAGCTGGGGGTGGAGAAAAGGGAAAGGAAAAGCAACAGAGATTTCATTCTAGTTTTCATGCAATGAGGGGAACTCTCCAGGGGGCAGGACCAGGCAGTTCTGTGTCTGGGGAGAGACTGAGGCTCCTAGAACCAGGAATTTAACCAGGAACCCCCAGGGCAGGGATTTGCATGCGGGTTCCCAGGGTGGGTATAAGAGATGACGGGGGTGAGCGCTCAGTACATGGTGCTGTCCCCTCGGGGACAGGTGTCCCCTTTACACCGCAGAGAGACCGTGCGCTCAGCTCAGCGCACATGTAATGTCAACAGGTGGCTGTGAGAGGGGTGGGTTGGGGGGTCCAGCAGAGAGGGTCTGGGACTGGGACTCAGGAGAACCTGCTGGGCCAGGGATTTGCATGCGTGTTTCACCCCCTGTGGAAACACTACCAGGGTGACCTCTCTCCAGGCAGTGCTGTCTGGTCCGTGGGAGAGTCACACACCCACTTCATGTCATAGGCTGTGATCCAAAGCCTGCTGAAGTCTATGGGTGTCTGTGACATTTTCTGATTAAAATATGACTATAGAGATCATTGTTGCAACCACTATTACATATTTGCAATGAATCTTGTAGGAAATGTGGCATATAAGACATCTATGAAAAGGTTATGATTTGCTGGTTATGATTATGCTATCTGTATGCATGTATCATTTTTGTATTTGAAGTTATAAGTATTGTCTCTATAGCTGGATTTCGAATGTTTGCTCCTGGGGTAACACCCACGAGGTAGCTAGCCAGCACATCTCAGAGGTACTATTCAAATTGGGTGGCCCATCGAAAGGTCACTTAACTGACAATGGACCATGGGAGACACCCATCTACACGGAGTGGACTGTCCTATAAACGTGGTGTTTGGGGTGTAGGTAATGACTTCCTGCAATGACTGAGTGAAATTGGGCATGAACATGTGGCTTGCCCATGTGACTCCAAACACTATCTGGTCACCCGTGATTCTCCACTAGCTAAGATGAGGTTTTTGTCTGAAAAATAATGGTTTACCTCACCACGGCAGGGGATATAAATGGCCCAGGAAATCCCTCCATTTTGCCTCTGTCCTGCTCCAGCCTCTGTCCTGCTCAAACCTCTGGACTATGAACTTATCCTAATGGGACCATTCTAACCAAGGGACTGAGGTCCTTCCAATGATTTGGAAGGAACCAGAGGCTTATTAAGGAAGCAATTTATTCCATCACTGCTACAAGCCTGAACCAAGAACTTTGCCATTACTTTATATATTTGATTCCTTTAACCAATTTTAACTCTAATCTTTCTTTCTTTCTTTCTTTCTTTCTTTAAATAAACCTTTAGATTTTAGATACTAAGGGATTGGCACCAGTGTGATTTTTGGGTAAGATCTGAGTTATATATTGACCTTGGTGTGTGGTGGGTCCTTTGGGATCAGAAGAACCTATTATTGGATGAGACTGGTTATAAAGAACCACTCATCTCTGAATCCAGTGGTTTTGGTGGTGACATAAGAACTGGAATGCCCAAGGAAACTGCTTTTATGGCTTATTGTTAGCCAGTGTGGTGAAACAGAAGTTTACTTTTGTTGCTGGTTTAGTATATCCCATGGGGGATTAACCGCCAGTTTGGGGTTGTGTTTGCCTATTTCTCAGCAGTTCGTCCTGAATTTGGTATCCTCCGTTGTGACCCACTGAGGCACAGTTACAATGTCTCTCCAATGGAGCAGGGGTAATGCAGAATGGGCTAGGCAAAGAAGATCAATTGATGTAATGTACAGGCTGGGCCAGTAGACCTGAGATCGTTCTGGGAATCTGTCGGGGGAGGAGCTGAAGTGGCTGGGAGGGAAATCAGAGAATGGTAGGACTGGAAGGGACCACGGGAGGTCCTGTAGTCCAGTCCCCTGCACTCATGGCAGGGCTAAGTGTTACCTAGAGCATCCCTCACAGGAGTTTGTTTCAGGCATCAGAGACCAACAAATACCTTCAGTGAGCGGGGAGGGGGCTGGGCATGGAGAGAAGACGCATCTTCAGGGCTGTGTTGTGATTACAGAGGCGAGGGGCCCTCAGCTCGAAATGAAGAGTCCAGCTACTGTGGGTGGGTGTGTCACTGGCCCTGCTGTGTGACCCTGGGAAGTCATTTCCCCAGGCTGTGCCTCTCCTTCCCCTTTGCCTGTGCAGACTGTGAGCTCTTCAAGGCAGGGACAGAAAGCAGGTGCCCAGGGCAATGACCCCTTCTAGGCTGGGGAGTGTGGGCACTAATGTCATATTCACAGTCACAGCAACTCCTATTTTCCCGTTATTTACATGAGGATCGACAATACATTTACTCCTGTAGGGAAAGGGGCTGAAACCTACTCAGGGTCATGTGTCAATGTGCAACATTTCATCTCCCGAGCTGGTGAATCTGGGTTGTAAGGCAGGGTGATGACACTTCCAGGTCCTCTCTAGGGTTCTCTATTCTCGTCTAGTCTCTGTACGTTCTGATACAGAGGTTACCACAGCATCTGGGCGCCTCCCTGTGTGTTGCTCTCACTCACTTTGCAGTTCCTATCACTGTGTGAAGTTTCACAAATTCCCATTTCCCTGTCCCGGCCCTATGCACAGTGACATCACCAGTTCTTCCAGCGAGACCCAGTAGTGAACCCTGAGGTGTGGATGGCAGGTGAGTGGGAGGGAAGCAGCTGGGGATGGGAGAACATGGTGAGAGTGGGGGTTTGCTGGTGATTTCCTTGTTTAACCCTTAGTCCTACAGTGAAAAATGACATTGTGGTCACTGCTGTTCTGCAATATCAGGGTATCGTTTCCTTGCATGAACTTTATGAAATCTTGACTCTTAGCGATTCTCTCTGCTTCTCTATTCCTGCCTGTGTCCCTCTTAGAGGAAAATGAGAGCATTAAATGCCCTGAATGTGTGTATAGAAACCACTTCCCCTTTTGGTACAGGTCCTGCTTTGCTCTGGGTCACTGTGTCTCTGGAGCAGTAATAGGTGGCGGTGTCTACAGCTGTCAGCGAGCGGAGCTGCAGGGAGACCTGGCTCTTGGCGGTGTCTGCAGACATGGTGATTCGGCACTAGTTGCATATACATACCCCATATATTCTAATCTAAGCCTTCCCCAGGAGCCTGCCGGATCCAGATCCAGTCGTAGCCAGAGGAAATGGAGTAACCAGACATGGTGCAGGTCAGTGAGAGGGTCTCTCCGGGCTTCACCGCGCCCGGTCCGGACTGGACCAGATGGATTTGGGAACGGGCACCTGCAAAGACAGGAAACGTTACAGTTAAATCCTGGCCTCTATTTCTCAGGGATTGATCATTTCCCCAGAATTTCTCCTCCTGAGTCTGGGAGGGAGGGAGGACGATTACAGTTCTTTCTGTTCAAATTGTCTCCCTGCGCTGCTCAGAATCCGCTTCCCCTTTTTGTACCAGTCCCGCTCTGCTCTGTGTCACTGTGTGTGTGTGGCTGCCTCACACAGTAATAGGTGGCGGTGTCTGCAGCTGTCAGCGAGCGGAGCTGCAGGGAAAACTGGTTCTTGGAAGTGTCTTGTGTGATGATCACTCGACTCTGCACAGAGCTGGGGTACTCAGTGTTCCACATGCCAGACCTATACCATGTGCGTCCCATCCATTCCGGCCCTTTCCCTGCGGGCTGCCGGAACCAGTGCCAGGCCGCGCTGTCGCTAGAAACCGAGTCTCCGGAGATGGTACAAGTGACTGTCAGGGACTCCCCGGGTTTCACCACTCCCGGGCCTGTTTCCCGCAGCTGCACTTGGGAGAGGACACCTGGGAAGGAAACACAGAAATGAATCAGTGAGCCAGGCGCCTATGCCCTGGGAGTGGGGAACTTGTGAAAATAAAGCACCCTGCGAGAGCTCCTGGGGGAGTGGGGAACCCAACTGCCACTGAATTCCATTGGCATCCAGGCACCTGATTCCCTTAGGCTCCTCTTCTGCAGTCACTGCAGCAAGGAACCCTCCTGACCCCCAGTAGACACGCACCTGAAGGGGCCTCCAGCATGAACAGGAAAATCAGTAGCAGGTTCATCTTAAGTGAAGGTACAAACTGTCCCCAGCAGCCAGGCCCAGGCAGTTCTGTGTCTCTGGATGGAGTCTGTGGCTCGTCCAATCAGGGGGTTGGATTTAAACAGGAAGCCTCCTGGGCAGAGATTTGCATGCGAGTTTCCCAGCATCAGTATAAGAGATGAGAGAGTGTGAGCTCTGTCTACACATGGGGCTCGCTCCTTGGAGCGCGTCCTACCCCTGAGACAGTGAGTTCGGCTCAGTGGGGGGCGTGTGTGTAAAACTTTCAAAACAGCCTAAGGTATTTGGAAGCCTAAACTCAATGTACATTGTTTGGATTTTGTCCTTTTACACTCTTAAAGGTCTTTGACATTCTCATCCATATATCAGTACAGGACAGCACCTTCCTAGGAATGAAGGAATATTTGGAGAAGAGAAATTATAACTCTTCTCTTGTGGTTTTGGTTGGGAAAAGAGACCAGGAGAGTTACGAACCGAAATGTTATCGTAATCCAGTAGGATTGGGTGTTAAATTCCCTTACGCCACCTCTGCCATCCTATCCCGTGTTCGGTAGAGATTTATTATATTGCCAGCAAACGCATTACATGTGCTGTGCAGCCCTGGATACATTTCTAGTTACTAAGGGCTTTATTCAAATCAGTTAAATTCAATGGGAGTCTTTCATAGATTCATAGATTCATAGATTCTAGGACTGGAAGGGACCTCAAGAGGTCAACGAGTCCAGTCCCCTGCCCTCATGGCAGGACCAAATACTGTCTAGACCATCCCTGATAGACATTTATCTAACCTACTCTTAAATATCTCCAGAGATGGAGATTCCACAACCTCCCTAGGCAATTTATTCCAGTGTTTAACCACCCTGACAGGAGCTTTTTCCTAATGTCCAACCTAAACCTCCCTTGCTGCAGTTTAAACCCATTGCTTCTTGTTCTATCCTTAGAGGCTAAGGTGAACAAGTTTTCTCCCTCCTCTTCGGCTGCTATGAACGTTCTCTGGATTACATGAGTTACTGAAGTTATATCTGCTGCCTTCAGAAGACAGTAATTGTCTGAGAATATCCCTTCTCCCCTTCCGTTTGATATCATATCCAATGTATTCTCTACCAGGATCCCTTTGAAGAAATGACGCAGACTCACATTCTGGATAATATCTGCCTGGTGAATGTTTATATTTGACAACTGTTCGCAAAAAGGGAATTTTTTTGAGCTTACGTTACATTTCTGATCCTTGGAGCCACCTGAGTTGTTTTTACGTATCATTGTCATTTTGCTCTAACCCCAGCAACAGAACAAACGTTTTGGTTAGTCACACTGCTGTCATTCTGAGCCATTTAGAGATCCCTGTTCCTCTTCCTCACTTTCCTTGTGAAATTTCATTGTGTTTGTTTACGTGGTGTTCATACAGCATCTGATCCGAACATTATCTATTATTATCTATTATTATTATTATTATTATCATAAACATCTTCATCCTCCTCATCAACTCAATTCAAGTAAATGCTCCTGAAAACTTTACCGATCAACCTCAATTTTTCATTCAGTCCTTTCCTGTCTCTTTCTCTATTTCTCTTTCCTGTCCAGTGAGGAAGGGCTTTGTTTGTGTGTTTGTCTGCAAAGTCTCTGAAAGATCTATAACATTTCATTGTTCTGGACAAGAACTGGTAGCGCGTTTGGAAATATTCCCACCAGCGGGTTGATGCACGTCACTAAAGCTCATTATCCTCCTCTTCATGACATCACCTTGGTTCAAGTATATAAAAGAAGTTCCCTCACATTCCCTATCCGCCTCCCGTCTGCATATTCTTTCTGTTTACATGGTGTTTTATGGGGGGAGGGAGGACAATCACAGTTCTTTCTGTTCAAATTGTCTCCCTGCGCTGGTCACAATCCACTTCCCCTTTTTGTACCAGTCCCTGCTTTGCTCTGTGTCACTGGGTGTGTGGCTGCCTGGCACAGTAATAGGTGGCGGTGTCTGCAGCTGTCAGCGAGCGGAGCTGCAGGGAGAACTGGTTCTTGGAAGTGTCTTGTGTGAGCGTCATTCAATTCTGCACAGAGCTGGGGTACTCAGTGTTCCACATGCCAGACCTATCCCATGTGCGTCCCATCCATTCTGGCCCTTTCCCCGCGGGCTGTCAGACCCAGTGCCACCTCAAACCTGGCGGTTATTTTCCCATGAGATATATCAAACCAGCAAGAAAAGTGAACTTCTCTTTCACTACACTGGCTAACAAGACGTCAGAACAGCAGTTTCCTTAGGCATTCCAGTTCTTATATTACCACAAAAAAACACTAGACTTGATGAGTGCTTCTTTAAAACCAATTTAATCAAATAAAAGGTTCTTCTGATCCCAAAGGACCAGCCACACACCCAGGTCAATATATAACGCAGATCTTACCCCAAAATCACGCTGTTGCCAATCCTTGAGTATCTAAAATCTAAATGTTCCAGAGGGATCTAAATCTAAAGGTTTATTTATAAAAAGAAAGAAAGAGAGGTGAGAGAAACTCGTTAAAAGGAATCAAATACATACATGATGGCAAAGTTATTGGATAAGGCTTTTAGCAGTGATGGAATAAACTGCTGGGTTAAGTCAAATCTCTGGCTGCTTCCAAATCATTCAAAGGTTCTTAGTCCATTGGTTAGATGCTCCCATTAGTATAAGTCCATAGTCCAGAAGTTTGACGAGGAAAGAGGCTAGAGCAGGAAAGAGGCAAAATGGAAATGTTTCCAAGGCCTTTTATAGCTTCTGCCATGTGCAGGGAAAACAATGTGGAGAGAAAGCCCTCAGCACAGCTAGTAGAAAATCACAGGTGACAAGATGGTGTTTGGAGTCACATGGGCAAGTGACTAGGGGACATCACAATTTACCTCTTTCCATTCTGAAAACTGACCATTTATATCTACCCTTTGTTTCCTATCTTTTAACCAGTTACCAATCCATGAGAGGACCTTCCCTCTTATCCCATGACTGCTTACTTTGCTTAAGAGCCTTTGGTGAGGGACCTTGTCAAAGGCTTTCTGAAAATCTAAGTACACTATATCCACTGGATCCCCCTTGTCCACATGCTTGGTGACCCCCTCAAAGAATTCTAGTAGATTGCTGAAGCATGATTTCCCTTTACTAAAACCATGTTGACTCTTCCTCAACAAATTATGGTCATCTATATGCCTGACAACATATATAGTTTATATATAGTTTCAACCAGTTTGACCGATACTGAAGTCAGGCATACAGGCCTGTAATTGCCAGGATCACCTCTGGAGCTCTTTTTAAAAATTGGCATCACATTAGCTATCCTCCAGTCATCTGATACAGAAGGTGATTTAAATGATAGTTTAAATCACAGGAACAAATCTACACTGACACACCCCTAGAGCCCCGACCAGGGGTATTCTTCATGCTACCCAAAATCCATAAACCTGGAAATCCTGGATGCCCCATCACCTCAGGCATTGGCACCCTGACAGCAGGATTATCTGTCTATGTAGACTCTCCCCTCAGGCCCTACACTCCCAGCACTCCCAGCTATCTTTGAGACACCACTGACTTCCTGAGGAAACTACAATCCTAGCCATTATGGATGTAGAAGCCCTCTACACCAACATTCCACACAAAGATGGACTACAAGCCATCAGGAATAGCATCTCCAATACCATCCTGGAAAACCTGGTGGCTGAACTTTGTGATTTTGTCCTCACCCACAGCTATTTCATATTTGGGGACAATTTATACCTTCAAGTCAGTGGCACTGCTCTGGGTACTCGCATGGCCCCTCAATATGCCAACATTTTTATGGCTGACTTAGAACAACGCTTCCACAGCTCTTGTCCCCTTATGCCCCTACTCTACTTGCACTACATTGATGACATCTTCATCATCTGGACCCATGGGAAGGAGGCCCTTGAGGAATTCCACCAAGATTTCAATGATTTCCACCGTACCATCAACCTCAGCCTGGACCAGTCCACACAAGAGGTCCACTTTCTAGACACTACAGTGCTAATAAGTGATGGTCACATAAAATCCACCCTATACTGGAAACCTACTGACCACTATACTTACCTACATACCTCCAGCTTTCATCCAGACCACAACACATGATCCATTGTCTACAGCCAAGCTCTAAGATACAACCGCATTTGCTCCGATCCCTCAGACAGAGACAAATGCCTACAGAATATCTATCAAGCATTCTTAAAATTGCAATACCCACCTGGTGAAGTAAAGAAACAGATTGACAGAGCCAGAAGGGTACCGAGAAGTCACCTATTACAAGACCGGCCCATCAAAGAAAGTAACAGTACGCCACTAGCTGTCACCCACAGCCCCCAACTAAAACCTCTCCAGTGCATCATAAAGGATCTACAACCTATCCTGAAGGATGATCCCTCACTCTCACAGACCTTGGGAGACAGGCCAGTCCTCGCTTATAGACAGCCCCCCAACCTGAAGCAAATACTCACCAGCAACTACACACCACACAACAAAACCACCAACCCAGGAACCAAACCCTGTTACAAACCCCGGTGCCAACTCTGTCCACATATCTGACTGAGATGATTTAGTTGGGAATTGGGCCTGCTTTGAGCAGGGGGTTGGACTAGATGACCTCCTGAGGTCCCTTCCAACCCTGATATTCTATGATTCTATGATCTATTCTAGGGACACCATCATAGGACCTAACCACATCAGCCACACCATCAGGGGCTCGTTCACCTGCACATCTACCAATGTGATATATGCCATCATGTGCCAGCAATGCCCCTCTACCATGTACATTGGCCAAACCGGACAGTCTCTACGCAAAAGAATAAATGGACACAAATCTGACATTAGGAATCATAACATTCAAAAACCAGTAGAAGAACACTTCAATCTCTCAGGTCACTCAATAACAGTCCTCAAAGTGGCAATTCTTCAACAAAAAAACTTCAAAAACAGACTCCAACGTGAAGCTGCAATACTGGAATTAATTTGCAAACTAGATACCAGCAGATTAGGT